CTCTCGGCTCGGTGGCAGTTGCATTTTATTTGGGTAGCGTCCGATTGTGTGTGTGTGTGCGTGCGTGTGAGTCCGCGAGTGTATGCGGCAGATCGCTGACCGCCGTCGTGCAACAGTTGTGCAAATGTGACGCTCGCGCCCGCAGAAGTCTTGCGGGGTCCCGCGGCCGTCCGGGGCGCCTGTGGCTTGCGAGGGGCAAACGCGGGTTTCGGCCAGAGTGGAAGCATCCTTTTTTATGTTTATTTTACTGCAGTTGTTTACTCTTGAGGAGGAAGAGGAGGAACGGAGAGCGCCCCGAGCAGAGGCGAATTTGTTAATTTTGCATGTCTTTCCCTTCTTTTTTGAGTGTGTAAATTTGTAAGTGTGCCCAGTGAGTGGGGTTATTTATTTTACGATCTTTTCACTTACTCCATCGATGGAGTTTTTCTGTATCATTGGAAACCAGAGACGGCCAGAAAGAAACTCGTTAAAGCTTTGATTGCGTATCACTGCAGTGGGCATCCGATTGGTCGGAAAAAAGCTGGATTCGGGGTAGCAACTGGTTTCTATAAAATATTGTTTGCTCCGAACAATTTGAGACGGTGTTTTGCAGACTGCGATTTTTCAGCCAGTGAGTTTTGGGATGAAAATCAATGACTAGCATGTTAAAAAAGTGAAATTAAAAACAGTGTAGAAAACACCAGAAACACGGAGTGAGGGTATTGTTTTGTGAAATCTTGTTTTAACTGCGCATGTGTGCCTGTGTGTGTGTGTGTGTATGTGTGTTGGGTTGTAACATAACATGTATTGCTTTCTGCGATGTCATGCTAAATAAATTTAAAGTAATTAATTCCAGGTACTGAAACCGCAGCAACTATGCAGTTAAACTAAATGTTAGTTATACCTTTTTTCGTTTTGTTTTTCAAGTAACATGGTTTATTGCACCAAACTAGGTGCCTAATTATTTGTTTTTACCTAATATTACATTTAGCATTTCTAAAAATTGAGAGATGTTCATAGAAGAGGCTAAACACCTCAGATTTGACCAGCTGCACCATTGATGTGAAAGCTGAATCTGATAACCTTTTCTTACTAAGCCTCAGTTTCCCAATTTGCTAAGTGTGAATTATTTTGCCTCTTACCTTTTAAGACTGTTGGGTGTTTAGATGAGGTGTGCATGTGAAACTGTGAACAGGATCCCGCCTCACATTTTAAGCTCTCAATGAGCGCTAGCGATTATTTTATTAAGACTAAATGGCGATGTCCTGGATGCTTACCATGGAAAAAAGCCCGCAGAGTACGGATAATTTAATCAAAAAAAAAAAAAAAAAAAAAAAAAAAAAAAAAAAAAAAAAAAAAAAAAAAAAAAAAGGAAAAGGAAAAGGAAAAGAAAAGAAAAGTTGAAAATTATTTGATAGCGTTGTATGAAAGATCTGACCCTGATTAGATTTTTTTTTTTGTATACCGTTTGACAATTATTTTGTGATTACTTCTCAGTTGTTTGCTTACAGATAGACAGGTAATTTAGATTGTCACATTTTAAAAATTGGATACTGTTCTGTTGTCTTTTCTTGTTTTCTGTTGAGTTGATTTCTCCATTGTCCAACAATTGAAAAATATTTCCTATGAAGTTTCTGGATTCTGTTACCTCTTATTACACTGGCACAACAATCGGCTTGAGGTGCATAGTACATACAACTTTAAAATCATCTCAACAGAATTGTTGTTGGTGTTTATCTCAACATCTGGTACAGATCTCAGATGTGCAAGAAATACAGTATTCCTAAAAACAAAACAGAAAAAAAAAAACCTCAGAAAGTTCAGCTGTCTGCTCTTATCCCAGATGAGTTTGTGCAATTTTGAGTGTTACAAAATACTAGTGAGATAAGAGAGTTAACACTGTCATTTAGAAAACAGTGTTATAATTTTTAAGAAAAATAAATTTAATGCTTTGGCCTTTTTAAAAAAAGGCTTTCGTTTTTAACTGGGTGTGACAATTGTAAGGGGTTGAAAAAAACCTTAAACATTGGTCACAATTTTGCTCTCAGATTTGAAAATGTCCTTAGGCTCTTTTTCTGCTTTAGACTAATAAAAATTAAAATGTTGAATTATGTGGTTTATGAAAAACATGATTTGGAACTCTAGGTAATCTGTCTACAAAAAAAAAAAAATCACAGCAAAAGCCTTAACAATAAAGAAAACAGCCCATTTTGCTCTTAAACATATGTGGATAGTATGTTTTAGATTAAAATATTAAGATTATGTGTGTATATTTTTTAAATTATTGAATCACCGACTACTGGTTCTGATAAAGTAAGAGGGGTTTTATCTTATTTTGATAAGATGAAAAACTTTATAATCATTAGATGTTCGGTTTTGCAATTATATATAACGCTGTGTACTTCACAGACAAGCGAGAGAAACTGGAATAGAATAGAGTGTACAGTACGATTCCATTTTTATAAAAGGATGTTTAGAACAATGTTACATATTAATGATGGGTGGTGGGATTATGCCTATTTACACTCCTTAATTCTTTGTTTTTATAATCGCACTACAGTTGTTTTATTTTTACAATAAAAGTAAATAAAAGTCACTCAAAATTAAAACAATTTAAAAAATTAAAATTAAAATTTTCCTTTTTCAAATGAGATTTTGCTTTAAGAGATACTGACTTACTGAATTTCAGTATTTTGGATCTTAACTAATTTACCAGTATACAAGGAAATGATGCTGAGTTGTTTAACAGTTATATTCCTTGAAAAGCTCCTTTGAATAGGAGGGAACCATTGTTCCAGAATTTTCTGAAAACGCTTTTTGAGTATACCTGCTTCCAAAAGACAATTCCAATTTAGGTGTTGAATTCCTTAGTCTACTTTTGAATCCTACCATGTCAACACTCAATCTACCTTTCCTGCTTTATTACCCCGTAAATTCTCAAATAAAATTTTAGATTCAGCTGAACTTGTGTATTTAATGTTTTCAGGTATACTTGTTTTTGAACTCATGCTTTTTTCTTAGAATATCTTTCTTGACATTTGTGTAAGGAAATCCCATTTTTTAAAACCTGGTTAAAAAATCATATCCACTGGGGGGCGTAGTGACTCACCTCTGTAATCTCAGCACCCTGGGAGGCTGAGGCTGGATCAGAAGCCCAGCGTTTGTAATTTAAATCACTAAGAAGTCTCCCCCCGCCAAAAAAAAAAAAATTAAAAATGGGTTAGAGGTGTAGCTTAATGTGAATACTCTGGGTTCAATCCCTAGGGTCAAAAACAAAACAAAAATCATATCTACTTTGACATATCTGGGTACTCCAGCTAAAACTGAACTTTGCAAATTAACCCATTAGCTATTATTATTATTATTATTATTACAGTGCCGGGGAACAAATCCATAACCTTATGCATGCTAGGCAAATGACCACTGAACTATACCCTCAGCTCCATATTTATTTTTATTTGTTTCTCAGGTACTACTTTATGCTTTTGCATGCATTTTCTAGTTCCATTTTAAATATCTAGAAGGCAAGAAAGCTTGTCTTGTTTTTGTGTCTATCCATTAAAGCTCCTAGCGTAGAACTCTGCATAGGAGAGGTGCTGAAATATTACGCTTTCATTAAACAGTTGTGTCACTGGTTCTGTTGAGCCCAAGTATTAGAAATCTTTCTAACCAGTGATCCTAGGCAAAACACTTTGCCCACAACAATGTGGAAGGAAAAAAACAACAACAACACTGATTCTTCTGTGTAATTGTTCACTGGATGGTAAAGAATTGACAATATTTTTTAAAATTAAAATTAATATGATAGTTTGAGGGCTTAGGTTGTTAGTCCAGTACCCAAACTATAATGTCTCATACATATTCCTTTTAAGAGTTTCACGTGAAGCTTGTTTGGGGTTTGACAGCATTTTTGTCTTTAACCTTACCAGAGATACAGTTGTGCCTTATATTTTTTCACGGTATTTGTTCCTGGAACCCAGAAATCCAAAGTGTCTGGTGATGGGTTAGATCGGCCAGCAGAGTCACTGCTCCAGAATACAGTACCTTCGTAGGTTGTGTTATTAAGCAAGTCACAGCACAGTATGTAAAGTGCTTTGTGTTCCAAAGTCACAATTTTCTTCCATTACTAGAAGCATAATTGTGTTACTTTTCAAATTTTAATATGAGGGCATTTGTTTGATTAATGGTAAGTACTTATGCGACTTATCTTTTTTTTGAAACATTGTTTTACTTTAATTTGCAGATGTTTGCTGGAACTAATACAGCTGATGAAATACCTGCCCTTTTCTGCTCAAGGTAAATCATTTGTTACTTTGTAAAAAATATCAGGTTGTAATTAAATTCAGAGTTTGTAAAAGGTCAGGCAAAGTAATATAATCCCTGACCATGAAGAAATGATCCTTTTAATAGGTAAGAATTTTATTATTCATTAAAAATGATAACTTTCAGGACCAGGGATTTAGCTCAGTGGCGCTGGGCCTGCCTTGCAAGCGCAAGGTCCTGAGTTCAATCCCTGGTACCAAAAACAACAACAAAAAACAAAACAAAACAAAACAAAAACAATAACTTACATTGTTGGATCAGTTTAGAATCCCTTGGAACATTTTACAGAACGCATAATATGCATGTGTCTGGGCTTTCTCCTCCACCCCAAGGGAATTTGATTTGGGAAGTTTTAAATGGGCTTCCAGTATGTGAATTAAAAAAAAAATACCAGTATGGTCTCAGATTCCTCTGAGCCCTCCGGGGCTTGCTAGCATAAATCAAAACAAAGCAAAACAAAACCAGTATGTACTTCTGATTTTCATTGTAATTGTCTGATTATCTCCTTGTCATTGCCACAAAGATGATATAAATAGCAAATGATAATGCTTTAGGGGTTAAAGACCCTAAGGGTTAATATTTAATTTTTGTCTGTGTGATTAGATTTTTTTTTTTTGAGACAAGGTCTTGCTAACCCCAACCCCAACTCCAACCCTAAGCACACTTGTAATCCCTGCTCTCAGGAGGCTGAGGTAGCAGGAGGGTCACTTGAGGTGGAGGCCAGCCTGAGCTACACAGTGAGAACCTAACCCATCATGCTTGGCTTAGATTCATTATCATTTTGCTTTTCATTCAGTGTTTTCATTACAGTTTCAGAATATCATTAAAAAGTTTGTTATTTTATGATTTTAAAAATTTAGGTTTAAGCTCTAGGATTCACTTAGCTTAGAAAATTACCCTATTTATAAATACAGTTTACAAACTTTGCCTCATTTGGTTGCTTCAGATTAATACATGAAGCAAAGTAATGGGAAACGGACCATTTAAAAAAATTTTTTTTCCCAAGACTCAGGATTGAATTCAGGACCTTGTGCTTGCAAGGCAGGTACGGCAGCACTGAGCTAAATCCCCAGCTCAGATCACGTTTTAAATAATTTCATATACATTACTTCAGCTGTGTTTTAATTAATTAATTTTCCCCATAAATGTGGGAAGTCAGAAACTCAAAGGTTCTCAGTAAACTCAGTGGTAAGTGGATGTTATAATAGAATCTTGACTTGAAGGTTTTGTATTCTCATCTTACTGGTTTTAAGTGTCATTTCATTTTTCAGATTTTAACAATTAAACTTTCTGTTCCAGAATAATCTCATTTAGAAGGACTCATTACACATTATAGTATGATTCATATGTTTTCTAACAGAGAGGATTATTTAAATTTTTAGAATTAAAAACTTGTCAAAGTTACTTGCAGTTCTATTTTTATGTTAAACCAGCAAGGAAACTGCATTGTATTAATTTTTTTCATTTAGACTCACACACACACACACACACACACACACGCGCACACGTCAGCTCATAAAAAAATTATGTGGGAAAGTTTTGAAATTCTGAATCCTAGGCTCTTACTCAGCTCTGACTTTACGGTGTGACGCTGACATTCTTCCTGGTTCAGAACTACTGTAGGATATAATATTGAAGGATTCATTGGTTTTAGGAGACAGGAAACTATTTGTTGAGAAATTTCAGAGCACTAGTAGAAAAAATTTCTAATATTTATTGTGGTTTATGCGATGATCGGGAGAGTAATAGTTGGTGTTTCCAGAAACTGATTTAGTTGTTAGTTGGAATTTTAGCAACTTTGTGGTACCTCAGTTCACGAACTTCATATTTTCCATGATTTTGATTGCAAACTGAATTGAATGAGAATAGAATCTTATTTCCCCACAAGATCGACATGAACCTAACCATTGAATTCAGTTTGATTCTTGTCTGATTTGGTTTGTGACCAGAATGGTAGAAAGAATTAAATTCATGAACACTGGCAGCAGCTACTCAGCTTACAAGAGGCAGGTTGTTTTAGAATACAGTGGTGTCTCAGTTCACGAATTTAATTCTTTCTATGATTCTGGTTGCAAACTACTGTCATGATAGAGAATTTGATGTGAGCTGTGACACTGAGAATTCAGATTACCTGGAGTTGTACAGAAACATCATGGAAAATTAAAGAGCTCTGTTAGAGGATGTTAAGCATACTCTGATAATATATAAAAGTAGTAATTTGCCTGTAGAAATCGAGTGCTGTGTTCTTCGTTACTGAATCGATTCCTAATTATCCTAGCAGGTTATTAGAAAATTGATAAGCAGCAGTTGCTGTGTGCAAAGAGGCCTGATTAGGTTTTCACGCCAGGTTGCTGATGGATTGAGAAATTCATGTCTATTTTCTGTGTCTTCCTAATTGCTGTTAGAAACAGGAACAGATTTCTGAGCCATTTTTTGTGTAGCGGGAAGGTGTCACTGAGACCTTGGTCCCTGTTCTGTTTTTGCAGTGTGAGTGTTGAAGGACAGCTGCTGTCTGTCTTTGTTTAGTCACGATGCAGAAGAGACAAGGCTACTGCACCTACTGTCGTGTCACCTACACCAACCTGGAGCAGGTGAGAGGTTTCTGCTGATGCGATCAAGTGTACCTCAGAGGACCTTAGCTGTGTGTTTTCTACTCTTTTGCCTTTTATTACATTCATTTATTCATTCACTGAACAGATTATGTTGAGAACGTACTAGTTTGCACATATTTTTATGATTCTAGAGGTATAAAAGACAGCTTTTTTCATGGAGCTTACATTCTAGTACAGTAAGACTCAGAACAAGTAGTCATATAGATTCAGTACATAATATGTTAGATTGTGACACAGTTTATAAGGAAAATGAAACAGGGAAGGGAGTGTTATTTTAGGTAGCGTGGCCAGGTGAGGCCTTTTTAAGTAAGTGCCATTTGAGATGAGATTTGAATGAAGTTCATCACCAGCCTTGCATATATATGAGGGAAAGGTTTCTCTGCAGAGGACAGAGAGTGAGGACAGAGACCCCAGGGCAGAAGTGTGTGGCTGCAGTGGATGGCAGGTGGGTGTTAAGTACGGGCTGTCTTTGTTTAATGACTGAGGTCCATTCCAGTGACTAATGCATTGGTCTCTAATTGAGGAGTTGTGTATAGTGCATACGTTAGAGTATTCAGAACAAAGATATGGCCAAAGGAAACTCCAACTTTATGTCTTTGCTTTTATTTGCATAACTCTTACATGGAGTACTGTAGTGTACAACAGAACATAAAGCTGCGGCACTGTACAGTAAAGTCAGCACTGCTACTTGTGTTCCTGTGTCATAGTTCAAAGTGCGAACAGTGTACCTCGGCCACAAGTCCAAATAGTTGTTAAACAGGTGGGTCGTTAAATGAGGAATATCTGTAATAGGTGAGAAAGTCGGAGAAGTAGATTTGATAAGACCTTGTACGTTAAGGCATAAGGAATTTTATCCCAAGTAAAGTGAGAGGGCATCTCAGGATTCTGAGAAGAGGAACTTGTACTTCAGAAGGGTCACCGTGGCTGCTTTTGGGAAGAATAGTTAGTATGGAGAGTCTTTCAGTTTTTTATTACAACATAATTCTAACACCATAAACTTTACCCTTTTAAAGTGTGAAATTTGGAGATCTTAGTGTATGTCAAAGTGGTATGCTATCTAACTACAGAACATTTTCATGGTCCTAATTAAGAAAACCCAATGCCCTTGTGTACTTCTAACCCCTAACATTTGCTAATCATTAATCTATTTTCTGTCTCAATAGATATGACTAGACAGGCCCTCTCTCTCTCTCTCTCTCTCTCCCCTTCCTTCCTTCTTTTTCTTTCTCTCTCTCTATTATTATTATTATTTTCTTTACCAGGGATCAAACTCAGGACTGTGTGCTTGCAAGGCAGGAACGGTGCCACTGAGCTAAATCCCTGGCCCTAGACTGGTATTTTATATAAACCAAATCATTATACTATGTGACCTTTTGTATCTGGATGTCTTTCACTTAGCATAATATTTTTTGGGGCTGGGGATAGAAGCGCTGTGCCTGCCTGGAAAGTGTAAGGTCCTGAGTTTGATTCCCTGGTCCTGGGAAAAAAACCAAAAACTTAGCATGATATATACATATACATACATATATATATATATATATATATATATATATATATACATACATATGTAT